AATTTTATAATTATGAATATTCAGATTGTAGATGTAATCCAAAGATTGAGAATTGGTCTTACGGGTCTCACGAAAAACCCTTGATCTCACATGATATATATATATATATATATATATATATATGTATATGTTAAGTCTATTAATATTTCATCATTAATATGATTTATTTTGGTATATAATTAATGCAAGATGTATAAAATCTCACATAATATGATATTGTTTGTTAATTCATCTTATTTGTATGATTTTATGTAATGAAACTTGTTACAATTATAGTAATTTTTTTTAATTCTTAAACAGAAATTTAAGTTTGTTATAACAAAGTCGGGTTTATAGGACGTCAACAATGTTCAAGTTTCCTACCAGATCGATATATAGGTCTTAAGTTCATAGGAGCAAACGATAAGGCGTCTTATTTAAACGTGTTGTAATGAGTTTATATGACGCTTTTAGACGTCTTAACAAATTTTGAGAAGTGTTTTATGAACACATATTTTTATAGGGAACTTGTTTTATATGACATTATTTGAAAAAATATTTCATAAAATAGCTAATGCGACACAACTCATTTTGAAGATGTGATGGAAAATCTGTTACAACGTCCAAAAGTGTCATGTAAACTTATTATAATACGCTTAGATATTTAGATAGAACATTTTACCAGTTAATTATATAAACTTAAGACTTGTAAAACAATATATTATGACCGTTTACACATTTTTGACGTTTTATAAACCTATTTTTGTTGCAGTGGTTGTAAAAACTCCACCATATAGAAAAATTAGTGTAAACATAGTGTTTGATTTTTTATAATACAATAGTTTTTTTTATCTGTTTTTGCAGATTAAATTCAAATATAATAGCTAGAAGTGTTGATTTTGTTAACGGGATTGTTAACCATCGTATTTTGTATATAGTATAAGACATCTGATTAAAACACTTAGAAAAGAAACATTCTTGTTTTCTTTGTTACCAGGTACATATCCAATTAAGCACCATCCGTCGGATATCCTGTCTATTGATTTCATCTGATACCCTTATTTACTTTCGGTTATATCATCACTTACATGTGTGTGTGTGTGTATATATGTGGTTTATTTTGCAAACCACATTGTTTGTACAAACCGTACAAACCTCATTCAACTAATCATAATTTTTCATTTTGTTCATTTTTTTTTGTAATTATGAGAGGCTGATTAATCATTTTTATTGTGGATGATGTTAATCATGAATATTATCATCTTCATTATATTAATTTTAGAAAAATACATGAAAAAATTTCATTGATATATCATATAATATTATATGAAACAATTTCATAATCATATATGAAACAATTTCATCAAAAAGGTATTATATGAAACAATTTTATAAGATTAAAAAACTACATGAAAATTTTGCATAAGATTAAACAATAAAATCGACGGATGAGGGTGGTTTTGCATTGTTCTTACAAATATGGATGGTTTGCATTTGATCATTCATCTCTCTCTCTCTCTCTCTATATATATATATATATATAGTTGACATTTCTTCAAAATAAATATCTTAATTCAATTGTATTATCCATCGGATGAAGAACCAGACCTTCACCAACTATCCATCTATATCCAATGTAAACTTCACAATGTCTATAAACTGGTAAAATCCGAATTGTAACTTACATTTTGGATAAAGACAAAGGTAAGATTTTTACTTGTAAAACGTCTTATAACTATCTGTACCGGTCAAAGAGCAAAATGTCTTCAGCAAAATTGAAAACTAGTTGAAGTGAGGTTAAGATCGTCACCAAAGTGGAATGGTTTGTCATCTAGCCGTAAGAAGATCAGTACAAGATAAAATAAGAAAATACAAATTGATACATACTTAATCAGTATTACTAGTAGTATGACAAATACTACTACTGGCAAGCCGAATCTTGAAATACAAACTTGGCCAGCAAGTTTGACTCCCCAACTAACTTGTTCCCTAATCTTAGTATGAGAAAACATGTATATCATATCAGCCTAAGCAAGTACAAAGGCACGATGTGAATGGTACTTTGTTTGTTTTACTGTCCTCTCTACATACTAAAAGAATAGAGTAAGATAAAAATGTGTCTACATCAAACTCAAAGGTTGAAATGAAGAGTACTAGGATACATGGATCAACCAACCAAAAGAAGACACACAGAATAGTTGGACAGATATCATTAGATGCAATGATAGCTATAAAAAGTCAACCTTAGCATACATTGCAATTCATCCATTTTGAAAGAACGATCATTGAGAGTGTTTCTGAAGTAAATTCGACATCATCCTCCGAAGAACATCAATTGTTCATCGGATCTGGAAGAGAACCCTCGTCTCTCCCTCTCCTTCAGTTAGGCAAAAGAAAAAAGTATAAAAATATGTCAACTTAATTTTAGTAACAACCAGGCAAAAGAAATACGCGAAATATCATGAAATCTTTTAATCAGTATTATTCATGTTTCGTACAATACAGTATTAGAAAAACATCGTCTGTATATATTTTTTCATTGCCATGGTTTTATAAACCTATAACTTTCAGACGATCTATTATATGCAAAAAATCCAGTCGGTAGTATCAACCAATAACAATATTCATCACCGCCTTTGTTTAGAGCACATATATTTCGAATGTTGTTATCATACAAACTCAAGCTCTGAAATCTCGAACCCCACCAAAAGTAGCCATAGAAAAGTGTACGACCATCAAACCTTTCACAGAATGACCAGTGGTATTTTTTATTGAACGAAATGGTATGATTTCCAAGATCATCATCTCTGGAGTTGACATGAGCGACGATCTCATCTTGGATATCATTTATAATATAAATATCCCATTTACTAGTCAAGCATGCATATACCGTGGCAAATGGGTATGTCAGGATGACAAAGATGAACAGGTAATACATTGCACAAAACCTGAATTTTATCGAGTGTTTCTCCATCTTTCGGATCTGAATTCTTTAGGTTACTGTAGTTCGTTTCATGACCTATGGATATGTATGTATGTATGTATGTATGTATGTATGTATGCATGCATGTATGCATGTATGTATGTATGTATGTATGTATGTATGTATGTATGTATGTATGTATGTATGTATGGATGAACATGAATAGATTTCTTGTTTTAGGGAACCCTATTAATAACAAATATATCTTTATTTGTTAAGTGTATAAATTTTTTTCACCATTAACATAATTTATTTTGGTTTATAATCATTGTATTTTGTTTTAATTATAAAAATGGACATTTGACTGCAACAAAATCGGGTTATAAGACGGCAACAATGTTCCAGTGTCCTAATAGTTGATAGGTCTTAAGTTTATAGGATCAAACGATAAGACGTCCTACTTAACGTGCTGTCATACGTTTATATGAGGCTTTTAGGTGTCTTGACAATTTTTGAGAAGTGTTCTGTAGACACATATTTTTACTGGGAACTCGTTTTTATGTCACTGTTTGAAAAAGTGTCAGTGCGACAATTCATTTTAAAAATGCCATAGAAAATCTATTAAAACAATAAAGAACTATAAATTATAAAGATCAAAATAACAATAAATTGTAAATCATAAACATGTAAATATCAATAAATCACAAATCATAAAAAGAAAATTACATGAAAAAGTAACTTGATTCATATTTTGGATAAGATACGTTTAAAACTTTCATTTTGGTACATAAGATGTAAGTCTTAAACATTTAAGTACCCGGATAATCGGTTGAAGAATACTTTTAGATATAAAAAAAACTAATTTTAGATTAAAAAAATCCATACTACAAACCACATAAACAAATAATACTGAGTTGGATACCACATCACTTGCCACATTAGCATGATAACCGGTTAATGCTTTAACCAGTTACTCGGATATTTAAATGTTTAAGATTTTACATTTGAAATATCAAAATAAAAGTTCTAATAACGAAAATAGAAATCAAGTTAAAGTATATTATTTTTTCATGCAATTTATCCAATTATAAATACAAAATGAGTAGTTTGAAAATCTTATAAAAAAACCACAATTTTTAATAAACTACGAGGAAAAAAAAATTTACACCAAAAAAATAGGTCGAAGGATGACGTCGTTTTGTAGACAAACTACTAATGCGCACGTTAGCCTCACTCGCTACAAGCCGGAGGTCAATCGTTTCCTTTGCCTGTTTTCACTTTTTCCACTCCTTTTCTTTCTTTTTTGAACCACCGCCGTCCCCCGCCACACACACAGTGAACTTCGAAACCCTAAGAACTGAGAACTCACCGGAGGTAAAAAAAGTGATCGGAGAAGAAGGAAGAGATGCCTCGTGAAATTATAACGCTGCAAGTAGGACAATGCGGGAACCAGATCGGAATGGAGTTCTGGAAACAACTTTGTTTGGAGCACGGCATCTCTAAGGACGGGATACTTGAAGATTTCGCTACTCAGGTTACTGATAAACTTCAATTTTTCTGAGTTTATTGTATTTTAGTTGTGTTTTATGTTGATTGTTAAGTATAAGTCGTTTTTGTGATTGGTGCTACTGTTTAACATTTTGCAAAGGGGATGTTTCCATGGAAATTTAGTGTGAATATGAACACCTGGAATCATTTTGGGCCAGGGGGAGGGGACAAGGGGACAGGTAGCCAATTGCATACTTTGGGCTTTTGACGACAATCGAAGAGTGGGATTTTTTCTTCTTCACGATACCATGTGTTTTTTACTGTTTGATCGTACTTTCGTGCTATGATCAGTCTAAATTATCAAGTTCTAGGTGCTTTATATGTTTGGGACTTTGGACGCAAGGATTTTCAAATGGCCGTACATTTAGAACTCATACGAATATGGTTTTATGCTGTATGAATACATTCCCTATTCTTGTGATCTTTATTGTAGTATCATCTATGAATAGGACAAGCTTTACGAACATCTAAGGAGCCACTTTTTTGGTAGAAACCTATAAAACAAGAGGTTTATTGCGACGATGATGGTTATGGGTTTCTGTTTAAGAGTAATTTACGTGGGGTTGTTGTAGTATTCGTCCCGTGTTAGTTGATTATGAATCGTGAGCCCTGTTTTTTTTGTAGTGGAAGACGGGAATTTAAGCAAGAGAGTTTGCAACATCTTGTCTCATATCAGTTGTGATTGTGGATTGTGATCCCCTTCCAAGTTCTTTATGAGGACTACAAATGACTTCTCACCATGCTTGTGGTTGAGCTAGACGTTATCTGAGCAAGCTTGTAGTTTTGAGTTTGGGTAATTACAAGTAATGTGCAATGATTGCATTAGCCCATATTGAAAACTCAAATACAATTTCTAGTGCTGAGAGCATGAGATTTGAAGTTGATGTCTGTAACCGAAGCGTGTTTGATCAACTTGACTTTGATCCAGTTTCAAATCCAAGTCGCCAACTTGCAGTTCTATACACACTTGATATACTTCTTTGTTCATACACACACAGTTCACTGCTGCTACTTCCCCTCTTGATAGTGCAACCGATTTGTTTTTGGATGTGAACAACAATATTAAGCCTAAGACAAAGAGAACAGTTAGTGCTTCCATTCCTAATGATAGTCATACTCCCTTTCCTTGAGGTATTTATGAGATATGACCTACTAATGCTAAAAGTACGATATCCTGATTACCTCGTAATAGAAGTTGATCGATACGTATGAGATTCACTATACTAGCAAATATTTGAAAAGTGACAAATAGAACTTTTAGACATAGATGACCAATATTTTAGAAGCAAATTTTGTATGTTCTAAGACATGCATGGTGAGCAATATGCATATCATTGGAACCTTGTTCAGTAGATAATAATGGGCTTCCATCTGGTAGCTCTGTTCATCTCAAAGTATTGTACCAAGTTTGGACTAGTTACAGGAATATATTTTCTATAGTCTATATTCTATGTACCAAACCTGGTACAACTCTGTGCATCTCAAAGAACTGTACCTCACATGTTCGTTCCCATGCTTTATTTAAATATTCTATGTACCAAACCTGTTGCAGGGAGGTGACAGGAAAGATGTATTTTTCTATCAAGCTGATGATCAACACTACATACCACGAGCGTTGCTTATGGATTTGGAGCCCAGAGTGATTAATGGAATCCAAACTGGTGAATACAGAAATCTTTATAACCACGAGAATATATTTACGTCAAGGGAAGGAGGGGGAGCAGGAAACAATTGGGCTAGTGGATATCATCAGGTTCAGAACCGTTTTCTTGTGACCACACTATTTTTTACTGTTTGCAAGTAATGAATTGTTATTGTGATCCTGAAACTGCTTCTCACTGAAGAAAGATAGGTTGGGTTGCTTTGAATTATTTCAGATGCACTGATAATTATCATGAAGTCGTGATTATGCTTGTTCCTTGGGACGAGAACAATTTCAAGTTGAAAATATTTTGTAATTGACCACATCATGTACAACTCTATATTCACTGAACAGACTTTTGTAGTGTAGATCCAACTCTTTATTCTGTTGTTGGATTTATATCAAAGAAACTTCAGTGTGTTCATTTTGGTTAGGTTTTTCTCAAAAACCCCTATTTGTCAGTGATTTTGTATCTTGTTTCGGCAGGGTAAGAATTTTGAGGAGGATTTGATGGACATGATTGATAGAGAAGCAGATGGAAGTGATAGTCTTGAAGGATTTGTCTTATGTCATTCAATTGCTGGAGGGACGGGCTCAGGTTTTGACTTATTAGCTGGTGTTATATTTCAGTTTCCGTATCTAGTTTTTATATACTTTCTTGTTTGGCTATGCTTCTCTGAGACATGATGTAAATGATTTCACCCTTGGAACTTCCATATGCACGCAAAATGTTGTCATTATGGACTACTTTCTCATACACTAACTTCTTCTATAAGACTAAGATCATCTTTAGTATTGATTAGTATGGGTTGTGCCTTTGGATGGTTGGGCATTCAAAAACTACTTTTTTTTTCTTTTTGGTTCCAGAAAGGAAATACATGTCATATACATTCATTGTTTGAATTTCTACTCTCTAACTAGCATTAGCTGGCCTATATTGTGTAATCTTATTATGATTTGATTGATTTTCCCTTTGGATTACTTCCATCTTCTGTAGGTATGGGTTCATACCTTCTGGAGACTTTAAATGATCGCTACAGCAAAAAACTTGTTCAGACATACAGTGTGTTCCCTAACCAGAATGAGATAAGTGACGTGGTGGTCCAGCCATACAACTCCCTTTTGACTCTCAAACGACTTACACTGAATGCTGATTGTGTTGTCGTTCTTGATAACACTGCACTTAATAGAATTGCAGTAGAACGCCTGCATATACAAAATCCTTCTGTTTCTCAAACAAATTCTTTAGTTTCTACTGTTATGTCGGCCAGTACAACCACCCTGCGTTACCCAGGATATATGAACAACGATTTGGTTGGCCTTCTTGCTTCTTTGATTCCTACACCAAGGTGCCACTTTCTTATGACTGGATATACACCACTAACAGTGGAGCGCCAGGTAAGTCTCGGTATCTATGTTTTCTTGCTTCTATTATTATATATCTATATGTATTGTATGTTATAGTTATTCCCGGGGTCTTAACAGAATCAATCGTTCTACTTTTGAGGTAGAGGTTAGGTCTGCGTACATCTCCTCCCCCCGGGAGGGATTTCTTTGGGTGGAATATACTGGGATCATTTGGTTTTATTATATGCTACAATTATTCTCCTTATTCAATTTTTAGATCCTTCCAAACCTCCCTTGGTCTACACTTGTAACAATATTTCTATAGAAAAATGCAAACAAATTTGAAATTTCAATTATAATGTAAGGGAGAAGTTCATTTGAGAAATGTAAGTGGGAATGGTTATGGTTTGTAGAGTATGGATGATATAAGAAATTATAAATAAACAAAAGTGGAACAAACTTGTAGGTAAGAAGTACAATTAGTACTCCTATCTTAAAGGAAGGGATTCTTTTGACTTTGTAACGCATTATGTGACATAAGTATCCAATGCTTAAGACAATCAAAGATGCAATCTGATGTTCTGCATCCTTCTTGGCAGGCTAATATGATCCGGAAAACCACTGTACTGGATGTGATGAGAAGACTTCTCCAGGCAAGAACACTGAAAAATTTGTTTTGACAATTAAAGCATGGATTGTCATGTGTGCTTACAAATTTTCTGTTTTGCAGACTAAGAATATCATGGTTTCCTCACATGCTAGGACAAAAGAAGCTAGTCAGGCAAAATATATATCAATACTGAATATCATCCAAGGAGAAGTTGATCCTACTCAGGTGAGTCAACATACTTTTCGAATCTACAGTTTTGTAGTCTGAAACACTTCCACCTGCTTATGTGTTCGAATTTTTGAGGATTGCTATGGATGTTGCATGTAATTTTGGGCTTTGAAACGTATCAAATACATACAACTTCCTAAGAGCTTCTTGTTTTCTATTTTTATAAATCTTCTTTTGAAGGCTCATTACAGGTAGAACCAGTGTTATCGAATTACCCGGGGGGGGGGGGGGGGTGTCCAATGAAAGTATTCTAGCAGACAGAAAAATGTTGCACATGTGAATCACGAACCTTGCACCATGTTCACATGTATTGGTGTTTCTGACATATATATACACACACACATAGACATACATATATATATATATATAGAGAGAGAGAGAGAGAGAGGGGGAGAGACTGAGAGAGAGAGAGTCGGGTTCATACGAGAATGATACTTATTTAAGAAAATAAGAAAATGGCCTAATCACATATGATTTTACACTAACATCACGTACAAAATCACATGTGATTCGCACGACCTTGCCATGCAGCCATAGGGTCGCCCACACACTTTTCTGGCCGTTAATGTAAAATCACATACCAAAGGGTCTTTGGCCTAGCGGTATGTGAGTCCTTGGCCTCCTAGGAGGTCAGGGGTTCAAACCTCAACAAAGGTGAGGAGGGTGTGTGAGTTTATTTGTTCTATTTGCCGTATATAAATTTTATATACTTTAAAAAAATGTAAAATCACATGTGATTTTACTTGTAATTTGACCATTTTCTTATTTTCTTAAATAGGTGCCATTCTCATATGAACCTACCTCTATACACACACACACTCCGTATTCTTCAATGTTTATTAAAGTTCGCTAGATTATAGGACCTAGCATACTATGAACCGGTCAACCAACCATACCTAATTCTTATTACCAATTCAAGGTAGCAGAGCACTCTTACTTGTACACGTATTGCAGTTTGGCAGCATTTACCAACTTTTGGGTTACATACATCCTGATCAGTATGATTTTGTTGTTGATTTTTGATGCGTTAGTAGCTAATGTTGACTTTGAAGTTCAAAAGAGACCCTTTGAAGGTGTTGCCCTACAATGAACTTAATTTTACTTCACAAATAGTAGTGTTATTTCCCCTCTACAGCTTTTTTAGAGTTTGTCGAAAATGCCATCATTAGTATAAGATGACATGTTCCATGGATGGCATTGTGATGCTTTTTGGCCTTTTTCTTAGGTTCATGATAGTCTGCAGCGAATACGTGAAAGAAAGCTTGTTAATTTCATCGAATGGGGCCCTGCTAGCATTCAGGTATGTTTCATAATGGCACACAAGTGTTACGACCTACTAGTTTCTTCTTTTAGTTTGATAAACTTTTTTCGCCTTTACTTATGAGACAGGTTGCTCTCTCAAGGAAGTCTCCATATGTTCAAACTGCCCACAGGGTAAGACATATAAATCCTGGGAACATTATTGTGTATTGATGATAATGATGGATGTATGGATATACTAGTCATGTACATATATCAGTAGGTTTCATATAAGAATAAATCAATTGATGAAATCCAAATTCTTTTATGTTCTTCAGGTCAGTGGGCTCATGCTAGCAAGTTACACTGGAATTCGGCATCTATTCTCCAAATGTTTGAGTCAATATTCTCTCCTAAGAAAGAGGCAAGCCTTTCTTGACAAATACAGGGGTTATCCGTTGTTTGATGTAAGTTGTTCACTTCTCTCATCGTTTCTTCTACTTTTAGTGATTCTTAAACAATAGCTACGTAAGTTTCAATTAGATCCCATAAAAATGATTTTACTGTCGAGTGTTGTTACTAAAATGGATGAATCTATTCGATGACTAAATCCATAATGATGGTGATCTAAAGTGTTAGGTGTCTTTTATCAAAATAATATATATATATATATATATATACATATATATAGTGGTTAGGTACTGTGAGAAGGAAGATTGTTATATATATAGTGGTTAGGTACTGTGAGAAGGAAGATTGTTATATATATATATATATAGATATATATAGTGGTTAGGTACTGTGAGAAGGAAGATTNAGTGGTTAGGTACTGTGAGAAGGAAGATTGTTATATATATATATATATAGATATATATAGTGGTTAGGTACTGTGAGAAGGAAGATTGTTATATAAGAAACTCAACTCATAATTACCTTTCAGATTGTTAAAATGGTTTATATATGTTTATGTATATACTGGTTAGGTATTGTGAGAAGGAAGATTGTTATATATGAAACTCAACTCATAATTACCTTTCAGATTGTTAAAATGGCTTATGCCATTTGTGCTTCTGAAGTTAAAACAAGCAATGGATTTTGTAAATGTCATTGGTAATCACTGCAGTAGTCGTACATTTCTAACATTAATGATCTGCCACCTGACCAGATGATGATATACACTATTTACTAAGGGGGCGTTTGGTTTAATAGAATGCTTTTAAGGGATTTGGATTTTGTGGAAGGATTTGAAATTTTTGGTGTGTTTGTTTGTACGAATTAGGATATGGAATGGAATTGAATTCCATTCTTTATAGATAGTTTACAAAAACTAATTATAAATAATTATAAGAATAATTAAATTGCCTTTTATTAATTGATTCTAACAAAAAGAATGTTCATATATTTTAAAACATTATTACAAACAAATCCTATGGAATCCCGTGAAATACCAACTACCCCCATGGGATTTCTAAATCCAATGCTTGTTCAATTCCGGACTTTCCTTTAAACCAAATGCGGGATCGGAATGGACACCAAATCCCGCAAACCAAACGGGCTCCAAGTTTCAATCTCTTCTATTACTGTAACTATTATAACCACTTATGTTTCATGAGATGTTATGAAATATATCAACTTTGCTTATTGTGAACCTTGTCCAGGACAATGATCTTTCAGAATTTGACGAGTCCAGGGACATAATTGAGAGTTTGGTTGACGAATACAAGGCCTGTGAATCCCCGGATTATATAAAATGGGGAATGGAGGTATGCCTGTTCATTTAGTTTTCTTGATTTTGTTATTTTATCACTTCTGGTAACGAGCTCATGTGTTGTGTTCTTCAGGATCCCGACCATATCTTAACAGGGGAAGGAAGTGCTACAGGGACAGTGGATCCTAAGTTGGCAATGTGAACAAGCCAAGTATGTTGCAATCACCTATTCCTTTGTCTATAACTGTTGTTACTTAACACCACACTATTCACTAAAGATTATGTTAGTCGATGTCACTACAACTGAATTTTCCGTTATATGATTTTCTTAATCCACATATACAATCTTGAGGGCCAGCTTAATTGGCAGATAAAGGCTAGGACTTGGGTCTCCCATATGTTGCCGGTTGGAGTCTTCTTAGGGCCACCAGGGATTTTCTTGGCTGTTAATATCGGGGCCCAGTGGGATTACTTGAGGTGCATGCAAACTGAACCCATGGTTGCAAAAAACCCACCCATGCAAGTATTCATTAAGATACCCTTGTTAACTGCAAGCATTGCGTCAAGTTGCTAAGGGTGCGCTTCTTTTTTTAGTTTTGGGAGCTTGTTACTAGATGACCAGCTTGTCTTTTTTGCTTTCTGGCTTCAGATGCCCAAGCATAAAGCCAGGAGTTCATGGTCCTACGATCGGCTTTTATGGAATTTTTCAAATGAGATTTTCAAAGAAATCTTTTTTTTGGGGGGGGGGGGGTTCTCCAAGTCCATAGTCAAGTACTTATTACTACTGTATCAAAGGCTTCAAGCTCTTAGTTCTGTGACACTTTAACCATGGATTAATATACGTAGGGTCAGGCCACTATTAACTAGTTTTCTGAAGTTTTTCAAGTTTTTTTTTTAGTTTAACCTGAGGGATAAATCAATTTGCATGTGGCTAAAAATATTGACTTCGGGAATGCTGAAGGGATGGCAAGAAAGCGTTGCGGTATATTAGAGATTAGAGAAGCCTTCAATGCACACTTCTAGTTCATGGTTTCAGGATATATATTATATGTTATTGACAGCTGATCTGAAACTTGCACGTTCTTCTCTTTTTCTGAGCGATCCTTTAAAGCAACTTGATCAACGCATTCGTCCCTCACCTCCTCACAGAAGGGGAAAAAATCCATTCCAGATTGGAAAAAATAGAATGATCGTGTTCACACACGGAGAGAACACAAGAAAATTTATATGGTTCATCTAATAGTGCTGTGTCTACAGGTTTTGACAAATGAGCATTTACTATATTGGTAGTTCAAAACGGAAGGAAATATGTAAGAGCAAATCAGATCGTTAACCCAAAACCCGATGGAGTATTTACCAAACCAAACAGAGGTAGGGTGGGGACTGTGAAGGGTAAGATAGATGAAGTATCCAGCACTCCTATATAGATCTTATCCACTAGGATTCTAACTCAAGCAAACAAATCCCGATTTTAGATTGCTAAAGAATTTTCATAATGTGGTCTAGGGCTTGAAGACCGAAGGACTTGTGATTTGGGTTAGGATTCAAGACATCTCAACAAGAGAGATTGATGGACTGTAAATTGACATGGAGAAAACTTCTGCTATTTCATCACCATTACCAACATCTAACTACCAATTTGGAAACATAAAATTGTCAATGGAACTAAACAATTTGTTGATGCAACGCATATTTGTTCTTAATTCTTGCAAGCTACTCGTTTGACGACTCCAGATGCATATTCACGTTCTTCTGTGTTTGGTGCATGGACATAACCGGATGGGACCGGACAGACGAGAAGGCGGGTGAAAGAATTGTTGAAGGTTTTAGGGTTGTAATTTGACATGGGTAGTTTAGTAATTTACCAATCTTCCATCATCTCCCACATTTTTGTTCCATCTATTTTGCTGAGACAAAAAATTTGCATTTTTTCTCACTCAGTCTCGTCCATTCCCGGTTCAATGTTGTGCCAAACGTCGAAATTTGAGATAACAAGTTCTTGTCCCGTCTTGTCTTGATCTGTGTACCAAAAGCACCCTTATGGTTTATCAAATTCCTATTGTACACATGTTCATGATATTATTTGATGTTGAATTTAGAACTCTACACGCGCCTACGTGTTTCTATTAAATCAAATATGTTTGTTTTCTAACGAATGAAATGTCTTCACTTCACGCTTTTTTACAGGACATGTATGATGATTATGTAGAAAAAGGGGTGCAAGAATAGGTCGGGTTTTTTGCTTACCACATTGCTGCATCGTGTATCGTGATTTGTGTGCATTAAAACGATGATTGTAAATTCGGTATGTGTTACATTCGCCTTCATAATGAACACGGTTTATTTGTTGATTAATAAACCGTTTTTGAAGCACGATTTTGTTAATCTTCTTTCATTGTTCGGAGAAAATGTTTAGCATCCACGAGCTGGTAGACTCTAATTTGATGAAACATGTGGGTATAGTTGTATTATACATAGGATAAGGAGGATCATGCGAAAAGCGGTTCAAACTTACGAGAAGTGCGAAAAGGGAGAGCAAAATCTCATATGATACAACACGTCCAGAAGGACGTGCACGACTTGTCTCGCGTTGAAACTCGCACGTGCATTGGCTGGTTAATGCAATGCGTATCATGTGATTTTATTCTACATTCACATGTGAATTGGCTGAAACTCGCACGTGCATTGGCTGGTTAACGCAATGCGTATCATGTGATTTTACTCTACATTCACATGTGAATTGGCTGAAACTTGCACGTGCATTGGCTGGTTAACGCAGTGCGTATCATATGATTTTACTCTACATTCACATGTGAATTGGCTTTTCTTGGACTTCTTGTAAGTTGACCAACTTCTCGTTCGAACCCACCCCAATGTTGGATAAGTTTGTTTAGCTTGTTATATTTAAATGGCCAAATTGCATGAAAATGCATTTACTTTGATCTGATTTCTATTTTGTATAGCGTACTACCAAAACCTTGGTTTTGTTACCTCAGATGCGATATTTCAAACATTTACATTGAAGTAATTTACACAAAATAAGAATCACAATAAAGTATGTTGCATTTTATTGCTTTCTCAAATGTAAACTAAGAGCATCTCCTATAGATGCTCTACAATACAGATTTGGAGATTTTTTTGCTCCAACAGATTCTTCAAAATAGAGGAAGCAGAGAGAAGGTAAAAATTTATGCCTGTTCATCGGTTGACATCCATTGGATGCGAGGGGAACCGAACAGATCCAATCATCCATTGGATATTGGATTATGTCAACCGATCCGATCCAATCAACATTATATAACCGATCCAATCCAATCCAATCCAATGGATGATTAGATTGGATCGGTTCGGTGTCAGCTATTGGATACAATGATGGATATCCAATTGATGATCCGATGGGATTGGATTAATTCAGTGTGTTAATTCAATCAAATTCTCTAACAATGATACAAATTAATTATCACTTTTAATATGTGTTAAAACCAACACAAGGGAAGTTAAAATTTCAAAGCCTCACATATAACAAATTCCGATTTAAGCAATTTGAAAATAAATTAATTGGATGATAGTTGGATAGACAACTGGATGGTCGTCGGAGAATTAATTGGATGGGTAATTGGATGTTGATTAGGTCGGTTTCAGACTGCCATCCGGGAACTAATCAATCCAAATTGGATGTTGAAATTTTCATTCCGATCTGATCCAATTATGATCGGTCGGTTCTAATTGGATCAGTCTGTTCCAATTGGATCGGTTGATTTTCTGCATACCCCTAGGTAAAATTCTCCAAATGTGGAACTTTTCAAAAATGATTGTTTAGGAGTGAGGTGTTATTTCATTATTCCTACCAATAACAGTCTACAAAATTAAATATTTCATAGAAAAAATAATATTTTATTAAATATTTTGAATAATATAATTAATGTGTGTAATATCCAAACAGAGAATCTATTGGAGCTGAATGTAATTTTCTTTCTGGAGATTTTTATTTTTGATTCTTCATTTTGGAAAATCTGTTGGTGATGTTTTTAGTACCAAAATAAAGGTTTTAAAAGTACGTTATACAAAATTGAAATCAAATCGGTTCAATATTTTTTATAATCAAAACGGATGACCGAGGATTCACGACCATCTACGCAAAATGTTGGCATTATACACGTAATTGACATCATTGTGAGCTTGCAATGCAATCGGACACACCATTCCGTTGTCATTATGCCCCTAGAACACCCTTATGTGGTCCTCGTGCGTCTCATCATGTTACAAAAATAATGTTTGTGTAACAGGTGAGAGACAGATCAAATACATAACTGTCTGTTAACTACCTGCCTGCCTGCCTTAAGAGTTGAGTACCTACAAAGATCTAAGAGCTTGTTTGTTAGCGGCTTAATGAGCTTAATAAGACTCACAACTTATTCTATCAGTTACACAAGAAGTGGCTTGATATTATAGTCAATAAAGTAAAAAAAAGCCGAACCTTCACAGCAAAAACACTGTGAAGGTTACCTTTATAGTGCTTTGCTGTCAAGTTTCAAATGTAAAAAAATGATTTCACAGGTCTCATCAAAATAGACTGATCTCACATGATCTCAAGTCTCCCACGAATTCAATCAGAATTGTTGAAATCATTAGTAGATTTAGAAATTAAAGAGAGTAAGAAACCACTATTTTTGCCAATTTCAAAAAATAAATAAATCCACCCTTGATGATATGATGGTCAACAATACCTTATCTAAAGGGAAATGATTGGCTGGGGATGACCCTTGGCTGCTTTTGTGGGTCCCACCCATGTGGGTGTGGGTTTGTCACTTTCCCCTTGCCATGATCCATCTCATCAACTTGTGTCTTGGTTCTAACCCTTTTTTTATCTGATATGGTTTATCTGGTTTTCATTTTTTTAAACAGTGACATCATTTGATTATAAAAAATAAATGTATAAAGTTTTTTTTTTCAAACGATGGTACTATTTGACTAAGAAAATGACACTAACAAGATTCGAACTTGGGTTTGGAGTGGAATAAAAGCCTTGCAAACCAACTCTACCGAATAAAACTTGTTTTCATTGTAGTTTCAAGATGCATACGGTGGCACACAACAAATTAATACGGTTGCATCTTTCACGAACTTAAATTTTTTATTCTTCGACGGAGAAATAATACGGTGGTACATGCCACCGTATGCTCTACTCTAGGTCCGTCCATGTTGTCTATATCAAAATTTGGTTTACGAAAAGATTTACAAGTAAGATGTGACGAGAATTATTGAATTTCAAGATAATTTACAAGTATAACATATAAAAGAGTAGTATAACGGTTTATTTGGTTTACCAGAAAACCGTGTAACGATATCTTGTTTCGTTAACCGAATTGTAATAAATTACGAAAGTTAATCGAATAATTTAACTCAAAAACCGAACAACTAGAATCCAGGTGTCACTCGGTTTCGCTTTTCCCCCAACTCATTTCAGTAGGTTACAAACCGTTAAGGATAAGACTGTTTGGTCCAATCTCAGGCTTCTCCTGTTCCGGTCTTGGTCTGGTTCGTGATGAGATTTACGGAAAAAAAAAACTAAGGAAAAATGCACCTTGTGAGTTGTTCAAGGAGAACTTATGAACATCTATCAAACGGCATTTGGTTTAGCAGTATCGTAGTCCTTGGTCTCCTAGGAAGTCAGGGGTTCAAACCTCACCAAAGCTTAGAAGGATAAGCAGTACAGTAAAATATATCTCGATTTTAATGTTTCATTTTTTTGTCGATGTTATAATATTGTTTTATGTGGTTTTGAGAAATCGATAATGTTTTTATTTTTGAATAAAATATAAATTTGAAAATATCATAAAATTTAAAAAAAAAACAAATATCAAAGTTCTAGTTTTTTGTGTAATTTCTTTAATCCAATTTTTTTATTATAATTTAATTTAGATTTAATAACTAACTAATTTATTTTTGGTTTAATAATATAATTTTTTCATAAAAATAATAATTATGTATTTTGTTAGAACTCAATAATTATCCTAATTTTATTTTAGATTTTTAATATTTAAAAATGAAAAATTTATCTTGTATTTGATTATATTTATCTGCAGTTAGTTACACGAATTTAAACCTAAAAATTTAATAACTTGTATTTATGTGTAATTTATTTGTAATCTTGAATTTTAAATAATATGTATTAATAAACAGTATATTATGTATAAAAAAATTATTTTTAATAATTTTTATAAAATGATTTATAATATAGTATAGATAAAAAAAAAACTAAAATAAATTATTTTTTAAAAGTTTTTTAATGCATGTGATAATCGGCCGCCGGCACATGGTATTATTAATATTAGCCCTCCAAATGTGGTCAAATCCGACCCGAATTCACCACCCAAATTATTATTTTTATTTATTCTTTATTTTAATTCAAATATTTGACCGGGTACCGGAAGTACCCGTTTATAAACCACCCCTTTGAAAAACCTTCTTTCCCATATATAAATTATAAACCACCCCTTGAAAAAACACACACACACACACACACTTGTTCCAATTTTTGAATTTTTAGGGTTTTGATTTGCCTCAGAAGCTCGGTGATTTATCATCGTTTTTTTCGCAAATTTGTGTCGGTGATTTTGCTACAACGGAAAGTAATGACGGTGTCTCGGGTTCTGTCGGTGACTGCAATGACGACGTTCGTGGTTTTGTTAGGCATTGTTTGTCCTTGTGTCAAAGCTCAATCGTTGCCACCCGTTCCTGCTCCTTCTAACGATGGTAACCTATTCGTTTATTCTTTTTTGTGCTCAACGAATTTACGCTCGAATTTTTATTGACGTCACAACAACAAAATTAGGTTACAGAACGCAAAAAATGCATAAGCATCCTAATAGACTACTTTATATCAGTTTATGAAACCAAATAATAAAACGTCTTATTTAAAAGTGTTGTAATAAGTTTACAGAAAGTTTTTAAACGTTGTAATCAGTTTTTTAGGATTTTTTTTAAAAAAAAAATGTCGTATAAGCTATTTTATAGAACAATATTTGAAAAAAGCAGTTTATAAAAACAAATATCCTATAAAAAATGTGTTTATACGACACTTCTGAAGAGTGTTCCATAAATAGCTAATACGATAGTTTGTATTAAAAGTCTGCTAAAACCTGTTAAGACGTTTAAAAGCGTCTTATAAACTTATTATAACACTAACTTAAGTTGGACTTTGTATATTTCTTATTTCCATATGTACAAACCTTTGGCTTGTTTCCATTTGAACAAATATGCATGGAAAAGTAATGTACTTTAATTTGATTATTATTTCGGGTAACGTACTTTCAGAATTTCTATTTTGGAACCTAAGATGTAAAATTTTGAACATTTAAGTATCCGGGTAACGAGTTAAAGCATTAACCGGTTACCATGCTGATATGGCGAGTGATAAAATAAAATTGGATTGAATAACAAATAATATTGAGTTTGATACCACATCACTCGCCACATCAACATAGTAAACGGTTAATGCTTCGACCCGTTACCCGGGTATTTAAATGTTTAAAATTTTACATCTTAGGTACCAAAATGGAAGTTTTGAGAGTACGTTACTCAAAATAAGAATCAAGTTAAAGTACGCTACTTTTTAATGCAATTTGCCTTTTTTTTTCTTTTTGTACTGCCTACAAATTTACCGCTCTTTCTTTTTGCGCTCACATTGATATACAAGTCAAGATTTTTGTTAATAGAGACAGTCACTCTACTCCTTTAGACCAAATGACACATCTACTCCTGACATCCTACTTTCGAGTAAGATATACTGGGTTCACCTCAAACCCTATTTTTAAGTGGAATATACTGTACAGTTTCTACATGCTTAAACAGTAAAATACGTTGGACCTTTATTTTATAAAACCGACACTGTAACATGACATACGGATACAGACATTTTACAAAAATTGCATTTGTATGTGTTGTAGGGACATCTATTGACCAAGGAATTGCTTATGCATTGATGATGGCTGCCTTGTTTCTCACTTACCTCATTCATCCCTTGGATACCTTTCCTTTTAATTTCTTTTTGTAATTAGATTCTGATTTGAGCAGAATAAAAATGCATTTTTTTATCTGTCGTACCGAAATAGATAGAACAAAAACCAGAAAGATGTGAAAAGATTGGTAAATTACCCATGCTTGTTTAGAACATCTGAAACAGCTATGCTAAAGTGAGATTTTGGAATCCTTTTTGGTTCAATGATTACATTGAAGTGTATGATAAAATAGAGAAAAAACGAATGAGAGAGTGTAGAAATCTCTAAATTTGAAGAAGAGTAAATTACATGAAAAAAATAACGTAATTTAACTTGATTCCTATTTTGGGCAACGTACTTCAAAACTTTCATTTTGGTATCTAAGATGTAAAGTTTTAAACATTTAAGTACTTGGGTAACCGGTTGAAGACTAATTTTAGATTAAAAAAAATTCATGTCACTAACCACAACAAATAATACTGAGTTGGATACCATATCACTCGCCATATTAGCATGATAACCAGTTAATGCTTCAACCGGTTACATGGGTACTTAAATGTTTAAAATTTTACATCTWATATATCAAAATGAAAGTTTTAAAAGTACATTACTCAAAATAAGAATCAAGTTAAAGTACATTTCTTTTTCATGCAATTTACCCTTTAAAGAAATCTCTAAAACTTGATATTAAGAAGAGAAAGATTATTTTAATTGTTTTCACCAATTAAAATAGGTGCAACAAAAATGTATTTTTATTACAGTCAAGAAGATGTAACAAAATTGATAAATTACTAAACTACTCATATTAGTTTAAAATCTTACACAGTTCTTTAACCTACCTTACCATCGCCTGTAAAGTCTTGTCCAGTCCTGTTTACATACAAAAAGCACCCTTCTAGAATCATGCCAAACAAAATAAGTAGAACAAAAATCAGAAAAATGTGACGAGATTGATTAATTACTAAACTATCCATGTCAGTTTAAAACCTTTTAACACCTTCCATGGTTATTTTACCTATCTACCTCACTATCATCTGTTCAATTCTATCTGGTCACGTTTGCGTACAAAACGCACCGTTACAGAATCGTACGAAACAAAAAATCTAGTCGAAAAATCGGAGCCATCGGGAATAAAAGTTTGTACAAAGTGAAAATTATACCGTGATCGTGGTGAATTATGTCTAGTTCTAGTTTGTGTTCATACTCGATCGTTTTCACTCGGATTACGGAACGACACCATCTTTTTTCTCACGAGGCCGATGTCGGCTGTTTTGGAGAGTGTACTTAACGACTTCATAGAACGATACTACGATCCCGACTGACGGTCCTGCACGTCCCACACGAGGACCAACTCCTGTGAAAAGTCCCTTCATTCCTCCATCCCTGCTCCATGACCGTAAATTCGTAACCATATCAGTAAAATTTCTAATCAAAAACCGAAACAACGGAAGTAGCAAGATACGTACCTCCATATCTCGACTAGTGTTTGTCTTGTTGTCATTGTCAGTGCTCGGACTCGATCTTTCTGCAAGAATCAATTGAACAACAGATTAAATAGTCGCTCGATATTGGCAGTTTACTAATTGCTGATAGCCTCATAGTCTCTTATTCAATGCTTATCCAATAAGATGTGAGGTTGTTTACCATACACTCTGACCGACAATTGATGTTGACTGAGAGTTGACTCGGTCGGCGCTTACCCGGTCCGAACCTCTTACCCAGACAGCACTCGGTTAGCACTTACCCAATTTGTATTGATAAACTTTTCTAAGGGGTTGTTTACCAAACGCTTATCGGATAAGCGCTTACCGGCAAGAGTCACAACTGTTGCTTACCTTGAAGGATAACATTCTTACCCATCAAAATGGATTGTTGGTAAATGTTTACACACACACACACAAAACCAGGTTCAAGGAAAAACCACAAAAAAATGGAAAACTAAAGAACACCCTAATAACTATTCATTTATCAGTCATGCACGTGTGCATTTTATGCACCGGACAACTGAATGGTTATCAAGGTGTTCCTCAATTTTCCATTTTTTGTAGTTTTCCCTTAAATCCAATCCCCCTCTCTCTCTATATATATGTTTGATGATATGTGTCTTAACTGAGATTCACAAAGAATAAAGACATACCTCTATTTGACGTCGAGTCTTTGCAACATCTAAAGGACATGTAGAGGCACCCGCAAGGCAGCCCGCAACAAAACCGGCTGTAAAGTTTGCACCAAGAACAACGATAGGGCTAGTTTCATTTCCCAACATGCCTAGTAGTCGCCTCCTAACCTACACAACGTATCACCATGGTTAGATTAGTTCCGACCTTTCTACATCCGTACGCACTCATAAAGATCCATATCCGACACTCTTTAGTTTACAACTCTTACCGGTTCAAGGGTCGCCCAACAAACCGCGGAAAATGGAACATCACGAGATAGTTGTGCCCCAAGGCCCGTCCACAAAAACCGAAAGCTACTAAATGCTGCACGAGATTAAGACGACGCACAACTTATAGTAGATGACAAACACCTCGTAAAATGCGTTTGGTATGCCGAGACAAAGCGGGAAAAAAGAACGTGTTTGTACCATTTTAGTGCGACATTAAGACCGAGACAGGACTGAGTGGGAAAAAATGCATTTTTTGTGGAACAAAAATATTGGTAAATTACTAAACTACCCATGTCAGATTAAAACTCTAAAACCTTGTACAATTCTTCATCTGCCTACCTAACTCTTGTCCATCCAGTCTTGTCCCGTCCCGTCTGCGTACCTAACGCATCCGTAGAGATCTCAACATCGCAAAATTGAACACAAGTAACTTACAGCTACGAAGTTTCTTCGTGCCCGTGTCCGCATTGACAACCCCGGCTAGCGTCTTCCACACTCCGGGAAGCTTCGTACCCTGTTGGGCATCTTTAAATGCCTATCACACAAACCGGAAGAATTTTCATATCGTGGACCCCAAAACCAAACTAACCCGGTATATCTCATTGGGGGGATGTATTTAAAGTAATAAAGTTTCAAAATTTCCTATTTAATGTAACACAGATAAAAAAAATCCTATTTTTACCTACGATCTCGTAACATTTGATGACGTAGATGTCAAAAACTTATCGTCCACTTTGCAGTAACCCTTCCATAAACAGGTATCCACGTCATCAAATTTTACAAGACGGTTGCCGGTCAAAACGAGTATAAAATAGAAAATTTTGAAACTATGTTATATCGATTAAGAAAACAAATTTTTCGTGGTTACGCTAAATAGAAACTAAACCAAACTTTATTGCATTTTGACGCATTTTGCTCAGATATCAATGAATAGATGCAACTATTAGCACAATATACCTGCATTCGAGTTCTTGCAAGTTCAACAGGGTAACAAGTAATACAAGCCAACGAACGGGAAACAGAACCTGCAACGAGCGGGACATAAGGTGTCATACTCGGAGCATTTCTCGATGAATACTCTTCCATATAGTTTCGAAAAATGTCGTAGCAAGGCATGTAGATACCCACCTAATAACAAGTATATATCAATTGTAGACAATGATATCTACGACTAAAAAACCACAGATAATAGCGTTTTTTTTCTACGACATATGTTGAACCGGGGAAAGGACTTACCGTGGGCACTGCCAATGCTAAACTAGCGTTTGTCCCTCTCCAAAGTCGTGCAAATCCTTCCTGCACACACGGACTCCGTTTTTTAGAGCGTTTTGACACTGGGAATTCTAGCTTCGTTATAAAAATAGTTCATAACTAAATCAAATCAAATCAAACCAAACACAGGACCAGTTTGTTAGCAGCTTAATGAGCTTAATGAACTCATAGCTTATTCGGTCTGCTATACATAATTGTTTGGTAGTGGCTTAATGATACAGAAAATGGCTTACTTAGTAAGATTTTGGGGGAGAGCTTTATGCAGAAAGCCAAGTTTTTCTCAGCCCAATTGAAAAACAGGCTCCTTCCATCTATGAAAAACCCTCCCAAACAAAAACCTTCCTAATCTATAAAAATAGATTAATCCGTACAGTACACACAACTTTATCCATACAGGACTTATTGGAAAACCAACCAAACAACCCCACAATATATCTTGCTAGAATTAATTTTGTTTCATAAGACGGATAGGATTTTTTTAGAAGATATTCGGCTTGCAAAAAGGGTAAGTAAAACAAATAGAAAGCACAACTGTAAGCGAATATTTTTGCATTTTTCTAAGACATGATTATAAGAAAAGCGAATATTTGAACCTTTGGCCTCCTAGGAGGTCAGGGGTTCAAACCTCACCAAAGGTGAGGAGGGTGCGTGAGTTTATTTGTTGCATCTGCCCTCCACTTCAACCATCCTGTCTGTATGCGATGTGCAACGTCCTCCTCAACCTCCACTCTTTGTAAATCATAGATCCCAAATACTTGAAACTATCCTTTTGGGGTACCTTTTGTTCCCTAATGTTGACTAGGTGTGTAAACGATGTGAGCTTTTAATGAGCTACTCGAGCTCGAGCTTAATAATTCTCGAGCTCGAGTTGATCTCAAACACAAAATAGAACTTGTTTAACATAACGAGCCGAGCTTTATAACACTAATGTTCGACTCGGCTCGTTTGGAAACTCGATTCAATGTTTCAAGTCTAGTCGAGTCGGGCCGAGCAGAACCATTCGAGCATACCCTTTTTTCGAGCCAAGCATGCTCGTATATTTATTAATTATAGAACAAAGATAAGAAAAATCGAGGTCAAGTCGATAAACGAGTTAATCGATGGCAAGTTCAAACCTATAAACGAGCATCAAGCTCGATAACCCAAAAAATATTCGAGCTTGAGCTCAAGTCTTACATTGAAAAGTTAATCGAACTCGAGCCTAGTATTAATTTCTTGAGCCCGGCTCAGTTAACCTACTACTCGACTCAACTCGGCTCGGCTCGTTTGCACCCTTAATGTTGACGTCTACGCCCTCTTTGTTGCTCTTCTACTATAATTGCACCAAAGATATTCCTCTTTAAATGGCTAAACCTAACCCTTTGCACCCTAAGATTAAGTCCATAAAATGGTAGAATAACAATTAGACTCGAATCTACAAGTTTATGCACAACAATGAGCATTATTGTCTCTTGGGGATGATAGTTGAAGCCCCTAATGACTACATCTATAAGCTTACTATTTATCATTGATGATTTCCGGGCCACGAATTGCCGAAAAAATACAGACATATAACAAAAGATTGCATTACTAAGAATTTATTTATAGCCACTTTGGGAAGTATAATTTAAGTCTTTAAGACATAAACTAAGCCAAACCGAACGAACCCAGTATATCCCACCCAAGTTTGGGGTCTCGTGAGGGTAAGATGTACGGAGACTTGACAAAGTAGAGCGGTTGTTTCAATGAAAACCCTTGTATAGCTTAAGCCATAAAACATGTAATTCTTGGAAATTTTGCAGCTATATTTAGAGGGTATATATATATATACACACACACACACACATTGTCTCACAAACCTGGCGAATGACTTTGTGGAAAACATCTAGAGTGCCCTTATACGAAGAATTTGAAGCGCAAGCTGGTTCGCCAAGTAATGGACGGTAGCATGATGGAAAGCATCTTGTATCTGATACCATCTTATGAATAAATCCACAGTTTATTAGTAGTTTTTTTAGATGGTGAATACAGAAAAACTAAGTGAATTAGATTGCAGATTTAACATACTGGGTTCGCTTCAAAGCGACATGTGGAGTAGAGATTCTGATACGGAACGCCAGCAGCCTGTGCTTGCAACCTAGTCTGTAAAATCAGATCGTATCAGTCTCACATCGGTTAGACACCGACCATCAAAACTATATATATAGAGAGAGAGAAAGAGAGAGGGGTTCAGGGGAAAACCCCCAAAAAATGAAAACCTAAGGAACACCTTGGTAACCATTCATTTGGACGGTATGTACATGTGTATATAAGTAATTGAAGTTGTTTCTTGGTTACCGGACAAATTGCTTATAAATTACGTGTATGCACATGTGCATACCATCCAGATAAACGGTTACCAAAGTGTTCCTTAGTTTTTCATTTTTTGCAATTTTCCCCCGACTCCGACCTATATATATGTGTGTGTGTGTGTGCACGCCCAAAAAAACCTCCCTTCCTTCTTAAAAAGGTTGTTTTAGAAAGAGATTCGAAAGGCTCCACATATCCTAACAATTAGTTCAGGGTCGTCCCAATCTTTTTAGAGGCCTTCTTTGTTAGCAACTTAATGAGCTTAATGGGATTCACGACTTATTCAGCTATATTGACTGTTTGGTAGTAGCTTAATGAAATAGAAAGTGGCTTATTCAGTAAGCTTCTAGGGGAAAGCTATATGCAGAAAGCCAAGTTTTTCCAAACCTGCCCCTCCCAATTGTAGAACACCTCCTTCCATCTATAAGAAAGCTCTCCCAAACAAAAATCTTCCCAATCAATACAGACATAATAATCCACACAGACAATTTTATCCATACATGACTGAATGAAAAACCAACCACACAGCCCGTTAAAATCAAGATTCTTAGTTGCATTGCCAGAACACAAAGGGTATCAAGCAATAGGGTTCAATTCTCTAATTTGTCTAATTAACCTTCTCCATATCTATTTGGCTTTTTGGAACTCCATCGTATTACTCTCTTAAAAAGCCCTCGAGGAAGAGAAAGGAGGTTCCAACATATATTGACGATAAATCGTCCAATCTAGCCGACGCTGGACTCCAACACACACCCTCTAACAAAGGCTAGCCCACACAAAATTTCACAATTTGCCAAGTTCCTAGGACGATAGGAATTGGCTTTGATAATATATGGAACCCATCAGATTAACCTCCGGAAAGAGCCCAAAATGATGTTCCAACATATATTGATTACAAAAATGGTCTCAAAATTGTCAATTTATAGCAGATGAAAGGGAATTCCGTACCGTTTCTCGTTACAATCTAGTCAATGTTCTTGCAAATATGCCAAAAGCAACACTATAGTTTGCAGGAAATGATTATAAATTCGGACGAATAACTAAAAGAAAAATGGTACCTTCGCGACATCGAGAGGATTTACGATTATGGCAGATAGAAAAGCGGCGCCGGCGGCGGAGAATGCCCTCTCCGAGAAACCCAAATCGAAATCAGACGACGGAGACGTCATCTTAACCGACGACGAGTCTTGATTTTTCGTCAAATTCAACTCCGGCAAGACCTCCAATTTGTTGAAATCTGGTTGTGGGTTCTTCAGAAATAAGGTAATAAATGGCAATAAATGGAAAGCAGATCAAATGTTCGATGAAATTCCCCAAAGAATTGGAGGAAATCGGGTTTTGATTGATGACGGTTCCCTGATTTCGTTTCCTTTGCATGGTGAAGGCGGTGGAAGGAAAAAAAGATTCGTAGCGTGGAACCAAAGTCGCCAACACAGGGGTATTTTGGGTATTTCTTTATTATCATAGGGGCATTTTGGTATTTAAATATTACCCCAAACAACATAGGGGTATTTTGGGTATTTACTTATTATCGTAAGGGTATATTGGGTATTTACTTATTATCGTAAGGGTATTTTGGGTATTTAAATTCAAGGAATTAATTATACTCCCCTCGTTTAGTATACCCAACTCTATGACGAGGGTAGTTATATTTAAAACTCCAACCTAACCTTAGGACCTTGATGGAGGCATTTTAGATATTTAGTAAGGATTTTGATGGAGGCATTTTGTTTTATTTTTGGTGTGGCATCGATAATAAGCATTTTTAAGTATTTGGATAAACAACTTATATTGGTGTCAAATTGGTGATAAGAAGTTTTTGAAAAAATTAAACTCTTCTGCCTTATAATAAGTTGATAAGTGCTTTTGTAGAAAAATATAAGTTGTTTCAGATAAACAATCCCAAACACCCCCCAATTACATCACAAATATCAACTTATCTTACATACTGAAATGTTATATTGATAAAAACAACTGTATCTATACTATCTTATAAATCATTTGCCTAAAACTCTTAAAAACTCTTAAACTCGTTCATCCCTAAACGATTTCATTCTTATCCGATTTCATCTCATATCTGAATTCGTGTAACTAA